CTTACTGGCACCTGTTGCTGTAAGTAACACCGTTAGTACCACAAACAGGCCTATAATCGGCGGTGCAAATACAGGTACTTTCAGCCCCCAAATTGCAGCAGGCGACGAGGAGGAAAATTAGAACTGAAATATATACAACTGACAATAAAATACTGCACGATTACTGCCGTCACGATTTATCGGAACCGATGCACCGACAACTTGGCGTGGCGCAATAACAGAACGACCTATATCATTGCTTACAGGGCTTAGACTAAAACGTCGTCGTCGTGGCCCTAAGGATAAGACGTCCGGTGCATGCGTATGTAGCGATGCACCGGTGTTCGAATCCCGCAGGCGATTACCAATTTTTTTAATGAAATACGTACTTGACAAATGTTCACGATTATAAATAAATAAATAAATATTTACTAACAATCACACCACGTCAACTGGTCCCGTGATAAGTTCGTAAAGAACTTGTGTTACAGGTACACACATACATATATTTAATATACATCCATAACCCTGGAAAAGACATTTATATTTATCATACAAATACCTTCCCTTGGCGGGATTCGAACCCGCGACCCCCTTGTGTAGTGACCATGTCACTTACCACTACACCAGACGGCCGTTAAACTTCCATGGTGAAGGAATAACATCGTGTAATAAAAATCAAACCCGCAAAATTATAATTTGCGTAATTACTGGTGGTATGACCTCATGTGAGTCCGCACGGGTAGGTACCACCGCCCTGCCTATTTCTGCCGTTAAGCAGTAATGCGTTTCGGTTTGAAGGGCGGGGCAGCCGTTGTAACTATACTGAGACCTTAGAACTTATATCTCAAGGTGGGTGGCGCATTTACGTTGTAGATGTCTACAGGCTCCAGTAACCACTTAACACCAGGTGGGCTCTGAGTTCGTCCACCCATCTAAGCAATAAAATAATAATAATAAAAAAACAATTCTCACCGATTGAAGTCTTCATTGTTTTCGATTTTGAATGAACTGAACACTCATTACTTAATAAGACAGCTGCTGCTTATATACAAAAATGTCAGTGCCACAGTTTAAGCATAACACAGCAAGTAAAGAAAATAAAAATAAAAACAATCATAAATACGACAGTATCCAAGTGTGGGCTTTCATGTTTTATAGGTAGTCTATTTGGTAGAGACTTACATAGTCTTCACAATAAATAAAAAAACAATGAATTTCACAAACACAAAAATGATATCTTGCAGTTACCTAATAGACATTTGCAAAAATATTGCATATTTCCGCCGTGAAGCAGTAATGCGTTTCGGTTTGAAGGGTCGGGCAGCCGTCGGAACTATACTGAGACCTTAGAACCCATATCTCAAGGTGGGTGATGGCATTTACGTTGTATATGTCTATAGGCTCTTGTAACCACTTAACACCAGGTAGGCTGTGAGCTCGTCCAATGACCTAAGCAATAAATAAAAAAATAGGTTATCTGTAAAGTCGATTTACTGACGATAGTTGAACGTGACAACGTCATAAGAAAATACTGATGGAATGGTTTAATTTTTCAATTATCGCAATTATCGTTGCTATAAACAATTGACACCACATTCACTTTTCACTAAACTTTATACTTGACGAAAACATGTAAATGTATTATTGTATAGCAGCTGTCCACGCGGATGCATCGCTCACTCAAGTAGGAGAGAGACAGATGTCGAACGCTGCCATGCCGAACGCGGAGGCCAATTGTGCCTCTTTGTCGCTCGGTGCGCGCTCTCGCTTGCACTTCAAGCCTTAAATGGAACGCCTCAGAGCGAGGTAACGCCGCATGAGTCATGTTTTTTCGTGCGTGCAGCCGGCTCCATCGAATTATAAGACGTTGTCACGTCAATAAAATAAAACTTAATTGGTTTGGAAGGATCAAGATTGATCCAGGAACCCATGGACTAATCTTAAAGTTGATGGTAAATATATTTGCTGGTATAAAGCTTACGCTAAATTATAACTACTATTTTATTTACTACCTATACACGTGCCAGGCTTAAGGAAACTTTTTTTCCTACCTAAGCTGATAGCCTTGAGAGGCTATTGTAGCGTAACCTTAACTAGTAGGTGAGCTCACGGGGCTCAAACCGGAGTGATACTAACACTGACCCTAGCAAGAGCAGTGCTTCGCAGAATCTACCACCGGATCGGAAACTCGACCCACCGACAAGATCCGGCGAGAAGCTCAGTGGGCTGTGTCTGTGGGTTAATTCGCTCGTCAAGCCCTTCGTCGCAAGCGATGGGTTCGACGCGGACAGTGAGCGGTGCTTGTGGTACCTGAAAGCACCGTTAATGGATCGGGAGGATCCGTAATGACGTGTTTTGGGCGAAGTCGACTATTTACCATTCGGTCTACAAGATCGGGTATGTAGTTTCCAGCGGCCACGACAAGAGGGTTCTCATGTCGTGTCGCCTTCTCAAAGTGGCGCAATTATGCCAACTGTAGCTACTTACTGATTAAGTCAAGCCTCAGGTCATTATGGAAATAGAAAATGCCCTACCACCTTCATTTATTTATTCTAACTAGTAGTCGCCCGGTAGTTGAAATTCGACTATAATTAATTGTAAATTGAAGTTTGAACATTATTATGGGTCTATTGTCAAAGACTATCATAGACCTCTCCAATAACAAATTCCGCCAAGGCTACACTCTAGATAAATAATATTGAAGACAAGCAATGTTAATCTATTCTCAATTTGACCTCAGAACTTAACAATAAACAAAACAGTATTACGCGTGTGTGTGTGTCAAATATAGGTACACGGTACTGGTTTACTGGTGGTAGGACCTCTTGTGAGCCCGCGCGGGTAGGTACCACCACCCTGCCTATTTCTGCCGTGAAGCAGTAATAGGTTTCGGTTTGAAGGGTGGGGCAGCCGTCGTTACTATACTTGAGACCTTTTTTTTTTTTTTAACGCTGGGGAATCCATTTACGGATACCCGGTCGAGGGGGGTAACGGACCGGGTTATGTCGGACTCCGGCACCTCCTGAGAGGAAGAAGGGGAGAAGAGAAGGACCGAGGTCCTTCACCTCCCCCAATTTCTCACAGTATACTTGAGACCTTAGAACTTGTATCTCAAGGTGGGTGGCGCATTTACGTTGCAGATGTCTATGGGCTCCAGTAACCACTTAACACCAGGTGGGCTGTGAGCTCGTCAACCCATCTAAGCAATAAAAAAAAAACAGTATGATGCATGTGTGTGTCAAATATAGGTACACGGTAGTGTGTGTAATGTTATTTCTATTAATTTAATGTATTTATTATGCATAATTGAAGTAAATATTAGCATTCTGCACTCCTTCTCTATATAAACGACTAGCGGCCCGCTCCGGCTCCGCTCGGGTCTTTAACAAAAATTTCAACGATATTTGACGTTGTTTTAGTTTTTAAAATAAAAGAACACTTATTGCGGCATAATTACAATAGTTAGACATATGCTGTTTCGACACTTTTTGTAATTAATAATGTGTTCTACAAAGTCGTGGTACATTATTTTATTCTATCATCAATAGTTTTCGCAGGGCACGCGATGTAAAGAATATTTTAAGAATTTTTTTTACACCTTGGGTTATTGGAGTTTTAGTAAAGATCCCTAATTTTTTTCAAAAAAGATTATAGCCTATGTCACTTGGGAATAGTGTAGCTTTCAAACAGTGAAAGAATTTTTCAAATCGGTTCAGTAGTTTCGGAGCCTATTCAATACAAACAAACAAACAAATCTTTCCCCTTTATAATATTAGTATAGATAAGTGTGGGAAATTTCATTCTCCTTCGTCCGCGTAATTTTCCGTAAAACGGGTACAAAGTTTTTGCTCCACGTATTAGTATATAGATACACACACAACTACATACCTTATTTCTATATATATAATATTAATTATGCTTTAATTCGTGTCCTTACAATTATATAGGTCATAATTTTATATGCACATCTGCCTTGGAGAACGATTAAATTGTTTTAAGTGTTAATAAATTAATAAGAGGTTGTTTATTGACTCAAATGCAGAGTAAACAAAGAGGAGGACAATGCAATGTCAAAAATATTTGTTATCGCTTTATTATTTATTGATACGATGCGTAATTGTTTAGATAAAGACATGTCCTGTAAAGACCGTAACGCCATTACGAATAGATGACAAAGCACCGTGCTTATCATCCGCCGCGCCGTGTTGTATGGAGCGTGGTTATTTTGACACCTTGTTTATTATTTTTATGTTTATTACGGCCGTCTGGTGTAGTGGTAAGTGACATGGTCACTACACAAGGGGGTCGCGGGTTCGAATCCCGCCAAGGGAAGATATTTGTATGATAAATATAAATGTCTTTTCCAGAGTTATGGATGTATATTAAATATATGTATGTGTATAATAAAAATCTTACATTTATTTCCGTTATCTGGTACCTGTAACACAAGTTCTTTACGAACTTATCACGGGACCAGTTAACGTGGCGTGATTGTTAGTAAATATTTATTTATTAGTTATTATTAAATGTTTAATCTAAAATGAAAAAGAAGCAAGCGTTTATAATGGAGGCTTATAAGGGAGGCCATTTTTTACTGGCGGTAGGACCTCGTGCGAGTCCGCGCGGGTAGGTACCACCGCCTTGCCTATTTTTGCCGTGAAGCAGTAACGCGTTTCGGTTTGAAGGGTGGAGCAGCCGCTGTAACTATACTTGAGATCTTAGAACTTATATCTCAAGGTGGGTGGCGCATTTACGTCGTAGATGTCAATGGGAATGGAAAACATGTAAATGTATTATTGTATATCAGCTGTCCACGCGGATGCATCGCTCACTCAAGAGAGAGACAGATGTCGAGCGCTGCCGAAAATAATACGAGCATAAAAAATACGGGAGTTTAGTTTTTTACCCGGGACAAATAAAAACAAAATTATATAGTGACATTCTTTATTTATTTATTTTTTGATATTTCTCCGAGGAGCAAGTTAGTTTTAACATATATATTTATAAAAACCAAAACAATTGTAATCGAACAGTTCGAATACGGAACAGAGTCAGTCCCGCCGAGACATTTTAAACTAAGCCTAAAATACGGGACGTCCCGGAAAATACGGGACGTCTGGCAACCCTAAATTCACCTGTCACCGCAGCACGGCCCGTCGTAGGCAAATATGGCTTTCGCACATCTCAGTCTGAAAAATAAAACATTACACCGACTTGAATACATAAAAATATAATTTAGTTTGTTAAATACTGCGAAAGGCACGAATGAATACCATAGATAATACAAAAGAAATATTATAACGTGAACTCGTAAATTAATTGAAAGCACTGGAATCTCAGAATATTATGCCTCTAAAAATAAGATTGACAGGTTTTTTTTTTCGTAGAACGCAAACATTTCATTGGTGCCTTAAGCAGACCGCAAAATTATAATAGAATACAGTAGTCACTTCTTAGCCATTCAAAGTATTTTACAAACATTTAAAATGTTTTTAGAGCAGGTTCAAACTAATCTGAAGTCGTCGTGGCCTAAAGGATAAGACGTCCGGTGCATTCGTGTTGAAGCGATGCACCGGTGTTCGAATCCCGCAGGCGGGTACCAATTTTTCTAATGAAATATGTACTCAACAAATGTTCACGATTGACTTCCACTTCCAAATTCAGACATAGCGGCAAGTAATATATTCAGTCATAGTTTGCTTGAGAAATAGGCACGAATCCTGTAAGCCTGCGAATTTTAATAACAGTGCTATATCACTATAGTTTTGCCGAAGCGAGAAACCACTACTCGCACTTTGATGTAATTAATCAAGTGTGAACGCCTAATGCTAAATTGCAGGCAATCAGCTTGGTTCCTAATTGATCAAATTACGTTGCTCCAGTTTTCTATAAAGGGGCTTGGTTTGAACAAGCATACGAGAAACTTTTATAACATAAAATGCAAAATAATTATAATTTCTTAGATTAATTAAAAGAAAATGGATACTAACAACAAATGAATCTAATAAGTAGTTACAGAGTATTTTTATTAAATTGAAATAAAGTGAAAATTACGATCAATGTATCCAGAGTAGATAATAATGAGAAATACGGTGTTTCCCGAGCGTTATGACATGTCCTTCTTCAAACGAGGTTTGTGGAGAGTGCTTAATGGTAAGCAGCGTCTTGGCTCTACCCCTGGCATTGTTGAAGTCCATGGGCGACGGTAACCACTCACCATCAGGTGCGCCGTATGCCTGTCTACCTACAAGGGCAATAAAGAAAAAAAATCTACAACCGGATCGGAATCGCTACCCACTGAGAAGATCCGGCGAGAGACTCAATGGGCTGTGTCTATGGGTTAATTCGCTGGTCGGATTTTTTAATTGACAAGATCGACCAGGTCGGTGTCTGGTGCTTGAAGAGCCTAAAACCAAGATAGTGATGGAGTGGTAGATCCTTGGTGAGGAAGTTGTTGATAGCTACGTTAAGAGAATGCATTAAATATACTAGATGATGACAGAGATTTGCTCGTTTTTTTTTTTATAACGACATCTTGTGTCTTTAAAGCAGTTAGTTGCTCTCAATTAAGAAAAATAGTATTAATATTCGCCAATAGATGTCGGGAAGAGTCATAAAGTTGATTATCGATAAAGTTGATTATTGAAAACACGAATAAAACAACATTTTCTGAAAATAAATCGTAGCGAAATCCCCTGTAGGTATACTAAATTTTATGAAAATCGTTGGAGCCGTTTCCGAGACTCAGATTATATATATATATATATACAAGAATTGCTCGTTTAAAGGTATAAGATTTATGAACACAGGATAAGTTAAAGCGTGTTAAAATAGTAAAGTCTAACTTACTGGCACCTGTTGCCGTAAGTAACACCGTTAGTACCACAAACAGGCTTATATTCGGTGGTGCAAACACAGGTACTTTCAGCCCCCAAAGTGCAGCAGGCGACGAGGAGGAAAAGTATAACTGAAATATATACAACTGACAATAAAATACTGCACGATTACTGCCGTCACGATTTATCGGAACCGATGCACCGACAACTTGGCGTGGCACAATAACAGAACGACCTATATCATTGCTTACAGGGCTTAGACTAAAACGTCGTCGTCGTGCCCCAAAGGATAAGACGTCCGGTGCATTCGTATGTAGCGATGCACCGGTGTTCGAATCCCGCAGGCGATTACCAATTTTTCTAATGAAATACGTACTTAACAAATGTTCACGATTATAAATAAATAAATAAATAAATATTTACTAAGAATCACACCACGTCAACTGGTCCCGTGATAAGTTCGTAAAAAACTTGTGTTACAGGTACACACATACATATTATATTTAAGAGACATCCATAACCCTGGAAAAGACATTTATATTTATCATACAAATACCTTCCCTTGGCGGGATTCGAACCCGCGACCCCCTTGTGTAGTGACCATGTCACTTACCACAATACCAGACGGCCGTTAAACTTCCATGGTGAAGGAATAACATCGTGTAATAAAAATCAAACCCGCAAAATTATAATTTGCGTAATTACTGGTGGTAAGACCTCATGTGAGTCCGCACGGGTAGGTACCACCGCCCTGCGTATTTCTGCCGTGAAGCAGTAATGCGTTTCGGTTTGAAGGGCGGGGCAGCCGTTGCAACTATACTGAGACCTTAGAACTTATATCTCAAGGTGGGTGGCGCATTTACGTTGTAGATATCTATGGGCTCCAGTAACCACTTAACACCAGGAGGGCTGTGAGTTCGTCCACCCATCTAAGCAATAAAATAATAATAATAATAAAACAATTCTCACCGATTGAAGTCTTCATTGTTTTCGATTTTGAATGAACTGAACACTCATTACTTAATAAGACAGCTGCTGCTTATATACAAAAATGTCAGTGCCACAGTTTAAGCATAACACAGCAAGTAAAGAAAATAAAAATAAAAACAATCATAAATACGACAGTATCCAAGTGTGGGCTTTCATGTTTTATAGGTAGTCTATTTGGTAGAGACTTACATAGTCTTCACAATAAATAAAAAAACAATGAATTTCACAAACACAAAAATGATATCTTGCAGTTACCTAACAGACATTTGCAAAAATATTGCATATTTCCGCCGTGAAGCAGTAACGCGTTTCGGTTTGAAGGGTCGGGCAGCCGTCGGAACTATACTGAGACCTTAGAACCCATATCTCAAGGTGGGTGATGGCATTTACGTTGTATATGTCTATGGGCTCTAGTAACCACTTAACACCAGGTAGGCTGTGAGCTCGTCCAATGACCTAAGCAATAAATAAATAAATCGGTTATCTGTAAAGTCGGTTTACTGACGATAGTTGAACGTGACAACGTCATAAGAAAATACTAATGGAATGGTTTAATTTTTCAATTATCGCAATTATCGTTGCTATAAACAATTGACACCACATTCACTTTTCACTGAACTTCATACTTGACGAAAACATGTAAATGTATTATTGTATAGCAGCTGTCCACGCGGATGCATCGCTCACTCAAGTAGGAGAGAGACAGATGTCGAACGCTGTCATGCCGAACGCGGAGGCCGATTGTGCCTCTTTGTCGCTCGGTGCGCGCTCTCGCTTGCACTTCAAGCCTTAAATGAAACGCCTCAGAGCGAGGTAACGCCGCATGAGTCATGTTTTTTCGTGCGTGCAGCCGGCTCCATCGAATTATAAGACGTTGTCACGTCAATAAAATTAAACTTAATTGGTTTGGAAGGATCAAGATTGATCCAGGAACCCATGGACTAATCTTAAAGTTGATGGTAAATATATTTGCTGGTATAAAACTTACGCTAAATTATAACTACTATTTTATTTACTACCTATACACGTGCCAGGCTTAAGGAAACTTTTTTTTTCCTACCTAAGCTGATAGCCTTGAGAGGCTATTGTAGCGTAACCTTAACTAGTAGGTGAGCTCACGGGGCTCAAACCGGAGTGATACTAACACTGACCCTAGCGAGAGCAATGCTTCGCAGAATCTACCACCGGATCGGAAACGCGAGCTACTGAGAAGATCCGGCGAGAAACTCAGTGGGCTGTGTCTGTGGGTTAATTCGCTCGTCGAGCCCTTCGTCGCAAGCGATGGGTTCGACGCGGACAGTGAGCGGTGCTTGTGGTACCTGAAAGCACCGTTAATGGATCGGGAGGATCCGTAATGACGTGTTTTGGGCGACGTCGACTATTTACCATTCGGTCTACAAGATCGGGTATGTAGTTTCCAGCGGCCACGACAAGAGGGTTCTCATGTCGTGTCGCCTTCTCAAAGTGGCGCAATTATGCCAACTGTAGCTACTTACTGATTAAGTCAAGCCTCAGGTCATTATGGAAATAGAAAATGCCCTACCACCTTCATCTATTTATTCTAACTAGTAGTCGCCCGGTAGTTGAAATTCGACTATAATTAATTGTAAATTGAAGTTTAAACATTATTACGGGTCTATTGTCAAAGACTATCATAGACCTCTCCAATAACAAATTCCGCCAAGGCTACACTCTAGATAAATAATATTGAAGACAAGCAATGTTAATCTATTCTCAATTTGACCGCAGATCTTAACAATAAACAAAACAGTATTATGCGTGTGTATGTGTCAAATATAGGTACACGGTAGTGTGTGTGTAATGTTTTTTTCTATTAATTTAATGTATTTATTATGCATAATTAAAGTAAATATTAGCATTCTGCACTCCTTCTCTATATAAACGACTAGCGGCCCGCTCCGGCTCCGCTCGGGTCTTTAACAAAAATTTCAACGATATTTGACGTTGTTTTATTTTTTTAAATAAAAGAACACTTATTGCGGCATAATTACAATAGTTAGACATATGCTGTTTCGACACTTTTTGTAATTAATAATGTGTTCTACAAAGTCGTGGTACATTATTTTATTCTATCATCAATAGTTTTCGCAGGGCACGCGATGTAAAGAATATTTTAAGAATTTTTTTTACACCTTCGGTTACATTATTGGAGTTTTTGTAAAGATCCCTAATTTTTTTCAAAAAAGATTATAGCCTATGTCACTTGGGAATAGTGTAGCTTTCAAACAGTGAAAGAATTTTTCAAATCGGTTCAGTAGTTTCGGAGCCTATTCAATACAAACAAACAAACAAATCTTTCCCCTTTATAATATTAGTATAGATAAGTGTGGAAAATTTCATTCTCCTTCGTCCGCGTAATTTTCGTAAAACGGGTACAAATTTTTTGCTCTACGTATTAGTGTATAGATACACACACAACTACATACCTTATTTCTATATATATAATATTAATTATGCTTTAATTCGTGTCCTTACAATTATATAGGTCATAATTTTATATGCACATCTGCCTTGGAGAACGATTAAATTGTTTTAAGTGTTAATAAATTAATAAGAGGTTGTTTATTGACTCAAATGCAGAGTAAACAAAGAGGGGGACAATGCAATGTCAAAAATATTTGTTATCGCTTTATTATTTATTGATACGATGCGCAATTGTTTAGATAAAGACATGTCCTGTAAAGACCGTAACGCCATTACGAATAGATGACAAAGCACTGTGCTATCATCCGCCGCGCCGTGTTGTTTTTTTTTTTTTTTTTATTGCCTTTGTAGGCAGACGGGCATACGGCCCACCTGATGGTGAGTGGTTACCGTCGCCCATGGACTTCAGCAATGCCAGGGGCAGAGCCAAGCCGCTGCCTACCGCTTAATACTCTCCACAAGCCTCGTTTGAAGAAGGACATGTCATAGCGCTCGGGAAACACCGTGGAGCTCATTCCATATCCGGATGGTACGTGGCAAAAAAGATCTCTGGAAACGCACTGTGGATGACCGCAGTGGCTCCAGGCTTGTGTGGAGCGTGGTTATTTTGACACCTTGTTTATTATTTTTATGTTTATTACGGCCGTCTGGTGTAGTGGTAAGTAACATGGTCACTACACAAGGGGGTCGCGGGTTCGAATCCCGCCAATGGAAGGTATTAGTATGATAAATATAAATGTCTTTTCCTGAGTTATGGATGTATATTAAATATATGTATGTGTATAATAAAAATCTTACATTTATTTCCGTTATCTGGTACCTGTAACACAAGTTCTTTACGAACTTATCACGGGACCAGTTAACGTGGCGAGATTGTAAGTAAATATTTATTTATTATTTATTATTAAATGTTTAATCTAAAATGAAAAACAAGCAAGCGTTTATAATGGAGGCTTATAAGGGAGGCCATTTTTTACTGGCGGTTGGACCTCGTGTGAGTCCGCGCGGGTAGGTACCACCGCCTTGCCTATTTCTGCCGTGAATCATTAACGCGTTTCGGTTTGAAGGGTGGAGCAGCCGCTGTAACTATACTTGAGATCTTAGAACTTATATCTCAAGGTGGGTGGCGCATTTACGTCGTAGATGTCAAGGGGCTCCAATAACCACTTAACACCAGGTGGGCTGTGAGCTCGTCCACCCATCTAAGCAATCAGAGTTCGACGTTCGCGAAGCAGCTGCTCTTGAGCTGTCAGGATTCCTTCGAATGCGCTCGGGCAGCTATTAGCAGACCCCACCCCTCCTGGCTGAGCACCTGCACGCCCACCAGTCCTGGTGAAACTAGAAAGCCTGTAATTCTACCTCCCTAAAATAAAATAAAAGAGCTCAAGAATCAGACAACAGACTCCGGACATTCAACATCTAAATATGTCGTAGTAATTCTAGTAGTCAGTAGTATAATCTATATATATAAAAATGAATTGCTGTTCGTTAGTCTCGCTAAAACTCGAGAACGGCTGGATCGATTTGGGTAATTTTGGTCTTGAATTATTTGTCGAAGTCCAGAGAAGGTTTAAAAGGTAGATAAATATGGAAATTCTCGGGTTTAATAAAGCTTAGGTCTTTTATTTATCAAAGTCTGCCGGGTCAGCTAGTTTATTAATATAATAATCAATAATAAAATATTTAGTAAGCAAAATCTCGTAAATATGATAATAAATTCGGTATATATATAATAGTTTTTTTTTTAAAACACCAACACCCTCACCGCATAACAGTCTTGTTTTATATATAAAGCAGTGACAAAGAGATTGGTGAAAAATGGCTTCGCTTTGACGGGCTTGTGCAGGAGAGAACCAACATCGGTAGGCTTATTCGAAGGTAAAAATTGCCTCAGAAGGTAAAATTTTAATGGTTTTTTTTTTATTGCCGTTGTCGATCATACGGCCCACCTGATGGTGAGTGATTACCGTCACTCGTTGATGTCAGCAATGCCAGGGGCCGAGCCAAGCCGCTTCCTACCGCTTAATACTCTCCACAAGCCTCGTTTGAAGAAGGACATGTCATAGCGCTCGGGAAACACCGTGGAGGGGAGCTCATTTCCAAACCGAATGGTACGCGGCAGAAAAGATCTCTGGAAACGCACTGTCGATGAACGCAGTGGCTCCAGGCAGTATGGATGACCTCTACTCCGGTTTCTTAAGACATGAACTTAGGTTTGCATAGGTGGCGTGCTTCAAACCAGAACGCATAATCTTCTAACATCGGAAATAGGCAGTGGTTGAATCAGCGCCTTCTTTTATTTGACCTCCGTTGAGTATCTTTAGTTTTACGTTGCCTAAAATACAAACTCGTAACTCAACGTTAATTGCATTAAATACATTCTTAGATATCATATTCCATTGGCTATCCGCGTAAAAAATCACTACCAAAGCTCACAGAACGAAGTGAACAGTTTGGTTACTTTTTACATAAAAGCATCGATGCGCGTTTCGTCGGCCGACAGAGCTTATGCTTACTTGGCATAATGCCCGGAATCATTTACATGTTTAGCCACTTAGCTGTTAAATTGACCGTACTAAAAGGCACAACTGTTTGGGTAAGACTTTTTTGTGTTTTTCATTAG